GTGGAAATTTCCTAGAGTGATGTAACCAATATATATCAAACAGTTGGAGGTTAACACCGAACATGATGCCACCTGATTGTCCTCTTGGAGAGATACAGAAGTCTTGTATGTTCAATGCAAGAATTAGAATTAGGAATTGCTAAAATTCAGGTGTATGATTTTAAGCTTTCTTTCAAATGACGGTTATATTGCATACACTATAACACAACATACTTTTGTCGACACTTTTTATTGTAGGCAAATGGCACATTTGCTGACAGATAACCTCCCATGAAAAGTTTTGCCGACAGTTTAGAAATAGTTGCGCTAGAAGCTATCGGCGAAACTTTTGCCGACAGTTAACAGAATCCCCGACACTTTATGTGTAGGCAAACGGTCTACCTACGCCGACACTTGAAACCTTTGTCGACAGTTAACCCTTTGCCGACAGTTAAGACATACGCCGACAGTTAAGACCTTTCCTGACAGTTTGTATGTTGGCCAAACCATTTCCAAGGTATTTTACAAACCATACCCTGCCCAAAAAAAAACTGTCGGCAAAACTGCATAGATATAATTACAATTAAAATAATTTGACAAATCCACTTTTGCTCATATAGAAGGCATCATATTGAACAAATTCACTTGATTTTTGTATAAATAATATATTAGATCTTCCATATATATATATATATATAGCAGGTCAAGTGATGATCATGGTACATAGAGCCATATAGGTCCAAGATATAGATTAGTCAGTTACAGACATGTATAGACATACTACAAGTCTTGTATTAATTGGTTATGACTAAAGCTAAGAGATCAATAGATAAGGACTTGAGCACAAAAGTGGCATTCAACAGTTCCATGTCTTTGTCCTACACGATAGTAGGTGCAAACAAAAGAATAAAACTGTAATTCATGTCGTCCTGCAGCGATTCTCGGACACTTGTTGCCACTCCAAAATACTTGAACACCAGCTTCGTGCACATATGGTTGCTGCCACTCCAAAATACTTGAACACCAGCTGTGAAGGGGGGTGAGGAATTTGCTGGGAGAAGCAATAGTAGATCTATAATAAACAGAAGGAAAATACAAGGAGAACTAAATGAAACCGTCATGCATGAAAAAGGAATCAAAACCATTATGACGCCCTTGCTCACATCTTGGATTAGTAAGCTTCAGACAATAATTTGATTGACTAGGTGGGTAACACTTAATCAGTGAACTCTCGTGATATATGTTCCAGAACTCAGCAGAAGAGACTACTTGCTACTTACAGAATAACTGGAGTAATAGCTTTGTTGTTTCATATTGCAAAATCAGTTGCAACCTCTATGTCTAATCGAAAAGGGTAAAAAACATGTTGTGGCCTGAAAAGCCCCAGGACGTTGGGATCATGCAATTAGGCATAAATTTTGCTTATGTGGTGTTTCTCTTTCTCCTTTGGCGTATATGCATACAACTGAGGACTCAAAATCGGTAAGAATTGAAACTGTTTCATTACCTGAGAGCTGGAGGGTAAGGTGAAATTAGTTGCCTCTTCGATATATTCTGGAGAGTGAATGAAGCCAACTTTCTCAGATTTTGACGCGACAGGATACGGGTTGCCATAGCCTACAACTCGTTTGCCAAAGCATTATGAAATTTTGTCCTGCCGTGGCATGTACTTCGTAAAGTCAACTTCACCTGAATGAAAAATGACAGCATCAAGTCCTTTTAGCCTCGATGTCAGAGTCCAAAGGTCATATGTTTTGTTCGGTTTTGATAGAACAAAAATCAGATATGCATGCTACAGCAAGGAAAGGAAGCAGAAAACAATTGTGGCTCATTGCAATCGAGCATCACTGCAAGATACAATCGTCTATGCATGATGTCATGAACTAGATTGCTACGAGATGCAAGATTCTGCACAGGCAATGACGGAACCGGATTTAATGATTTTTGTCTAGCAAGTCACGTTGCAGCTAACCCCTTCACACATCACACCCAAACTCAAATTCGGATGTAACGACTCCTGCAAGAAAAAGGTGCCCAGACTTAAGCTTTTTTGGCAGTGCAAGTCTGACAGTCTTTCCGCTCATCTGTGTTCTGCAGCAATTTTGGAATATTACTAATGCTATAGGTATATCAAGGTAGCCTTCATCCCATCCCGAAATTATCATTTATCAAGGTAGCGTTCATCTCAGTTAAGTCTAGTAAATAAAATCCCCATATAGCACAAGGTAGCGTTCCGAAAGCTTATCTTCCTCTAAAATATTTTATCTGCTGTGTAAACTTAAGTATATTAAGCCATCATGCATCTCCTATGAACCAAGTAATCTGATGCGCTATTTTAACTTGAAGTAAAGCATTCGTCATGATCTACCCAAAAGCACACATGATAGGGACTGCATGTTCTATGGAAGACTAAAATATGGTAGAGTGAAATTTTATGTTAATCCACCCACATGATATGATCTCCAGGGAATAGGTTTCATCAATCATTAATATGGGATTGGAGACTAGATCACTAGGAGATTTTCTCACACATCATCAACAGGTAAACAAAGAACCCAATGCAATTTGTAGAATCATGATCACCCTATGCAAAAAGACATGGACGATGATAGCAGAGGAACTACAATTATTGCAGAGTTTTCACTTATCTAAAAACTCAGAATTCGCACCAACCAATGCAATTAACAAATAGTTATGGCTTCCTCTACTTCATTGGATTGCACTGATGGATCTAGCTATCACAACAATCTCCTAATTTAGTGGTCAAAAGAATAATAGCACACCTTTGGTCTAATCTGAAATTGAATATAAGTGTTGCTGCTAGCTAAATATAATATGGAAACTGTATTGCATTTAATTATATCTTTATAATATGGAAACTGCACGAGAGAGTTTAAGTATTCAAGCTCAGAGTAATTTCTTAGTGTACTTAGACATTCCACTTGAAATGAAAACTAAGATGAAAATTGCTTTGATTGTGAAAAACATAGCGACATAATTAGTGCATCTTTTGGACAATAAACTCACCCGAAAATTTCTAGAGAAACCATTTCTTCCTTATGAGTTTCAAGAATCTGGGAAAGGAAAAGATAGCCTTGCTTAGCTTGTAGCAGCGGTAGTGTGGTACAAGAAAAGGAAAAACATAAGGCAGGAAAAGGAATAAATTATATAGTACAGAGGGCTCTTGCAGTCTTGTAGCTTACCCTTTTGCAAACTCAACAATCAATCGGCTTCTGTTGGACAACAAACACAAACTCGTGCTTCATATCCACATAACGCACTATGTGGAAATGGTTTCCAGAAACAGTACCACCGTCAAGAAGCAAGTAGAGAAATGAATCACCGGCCAGAAGGAACTAAACCAGGCATGACTGTGAATTTCCATTAACACCTCATAGCTGAAGTACCTAACATGGAAAAAAAAGTTGAACTATCAGCGCAATATGCTCTATGCTTTAAATTTGTGCCATGCAATTCACACTGTTATATCACATATAAGTCGAACTCTCCAAGTAAGTTTCAACAATACCTTCCAGCTATGATGGCCTTCCTGTGCCACCAATATTTGAATGTGCCACTACTATTTAAATGTTGCAGTGAATGAGTGCATAGGTGTTCCTGAAATCACACATGCTTGAAATTTGAATGGCTATGTTGCAGCCAAGACCATCACACGAGCATTCTCTGAAAAGACATACAAATTCTCTACTGACCTGTCCAATATCTGGTTGTCTAAATGTTCAGCTACCTATCTTTGCATGAGGATATATCTTTCTACAAACATATTTTACCAAAAAAAAACTAATGATGAAAGGCATGCATGGGAGAACATTCCAAGTCCAACAGCAAGTAAAATAGAGTAAGGCTAGTATAACTGTTATCAATAAACAGATGTGCTTTAAGGTAACCAAAACAACTGAAGAGCCATACCGTCCTGTTAGTAGAGTCAACATCAGATTGCCTTGGTGGAGAAGAGCCAGAATCACCTAAAAATAAGCAATTATAAAATTAAAAGGCATGTCAAATGGGAAAATTTTTTATAAAAAAACTGCACACCTACCCACAGAGCCCCAATATGCTGGAGTAGATGCTAGGAAAACCAGGCCCCAAATATTACTTATTTGAACATGTATGCATGATGCATGTATTAACATATACTCAAAATATTGAAATATAACAGAACCACCTTAAAAAACCATAGCATCAAGCAATAAGGAGTAGATATTCAAAAAAAATTATTGTTACAACTCCTAGTTATATGTGTGGAACTCATAACATATTTATTACAGGGAAAATTCATATGGTAGCAATAAAATTCTGAACAAATAGCACTGACTAATATAAAGTCAAGATCATGGAATGTGGAAAAACATTATAGATGTGTAATAACCGGAGGCAAGGGCTAAATACAAAACAATAATATCAAATTCTGGAAATACCTTGAGATCTTCTAGGAGTCGCTGGTCCTACATGAATTGGTCTTGTGGAACAGTATACATCTAGTATTTCCAAAAACTCCACATGGACTTGCATTATTATAGGTAGACATGAGTACACAAAAGAAAAGACTAATATTAAATCTTAGGATTGTAGCTATTTACAGGCCTGTTGTCTGATATGGTACAGAAACAAAGAATGGTAGAGACAAAAGACTAATTTCTGTAGAAAATTAAACAAAATTACACTAGAAGTAGCAGTAGTTTATTTCTAGAAGTCACAGAGAACACAAAAGGAAAAGGCTGATATTAAATCTAAGGAACTTAGCTGTTTACAGGCTTGTGTTGTCCATTCTATGGTACACAAACAAAGAATGGTAGGGGCAAAAAGACTAATCTCTGCAGAGAAGTAAATAAAATGACACTAGAAGGCTATAGTTCATTTCTAGAAGTCACAGACAAGAAAATATAAGTTGGCCAGAAACTTGATTTTGTATTTTTCCCATGAAATACAAAATATATAGTCAATGGTGACTAGCAAGCAAACACAATTTATAATCAATACAGAGATACAGTTGTTCAACTATGAAGGTGATGGCTATTCTAAATAAGCACCATACTGTATGCATACAAAGTTTTTCTGAAATATAAACAGGTGACAAGAATTACCATTCCTCATAACATGGCACCATCTCAGGAACTGAATGGAAGACTCAATTTAAAATGGAGGTAGGATAGGCATATCGAACCAAAAAATGAAAAATCAAACAGTCGAGTGCAAACAAGAGATAGAAGTAGCAAACACCTTATATTTCTACTGTTGTCCTCCTTATGAATTCAGTAAACATACCCTAAAGGCCACATATCAGGCACGACTTACCAAAGATAATTTGCAAGGATTGAAAAGGCGACCCCTCATCCCCTCCTAGGTGCGACTAATTGCTAGGCGAGGGGTTCCCGCCTGGCCTAAGGGGGTAGGCGGACCCCTAGGCGGGCAGAGCGCCTCGGCGGTGCCAGGCGACGCCTCGGCATCGATTCGGCGGCACTGAAGCGGTCTAGGCGGCGCGGAGGCGGACGCGGCGACCAAGCGTGTGAAAAATTGAAGCCGCGGGCGAGTGCGCGCGCGCAGCTGGCTTCGGGCGCAGGAAAAGAAGGCTCAGGCGCGGGAAGGATAAGAGGGAGAAGGGGGAAAAGGACGCGCCTGCTTGCTTGCCGCTCTCCGACGGCCGCTCACCTCCCTACGACCCCGCCGGTAAGCTGCTCCCACCGGCTGCGCTCCTCCCCGCTGGGCAGGTGGTCACGCAGGCCACGCTCCTCCCCGCCGAGCTCGTGGTACCATCGGTCGCACTCCTCCCCACCGAGCTCGTGGTCCCGCAGGCCACGCTGTTCCCCGCTGAGCTCGTGGTCCCATCGGTTGCGCTCCACCCCGCCTGGAAGCTCCTCCCCGCCGGTCTCTTCATCTCGCCAGGCGCTCCTCCCTGTCTGTCTCGTCCTCCTGCCGGGCGCTCCCTTCCCCACCGGGCACGTCCTCCTGCCGCCTAGTCCCCTCCCCGCCGGTCTCCTCCCTAAGCTAAAGCCCCAAGGCCCAAGGCCTGTATGTCCTCTCCTGCTCCTCTCCTCTGTTCCCTACTCCTCTCCTCTGTTAGCTTTGAACTGCTTTGAAGTCTAAAATCTGATCTGAATCTGAATGACATACTTGACTGAATCTGAATGACATGTATGTATTTGTAATTTGTTGGCTGCATGTATATTATAGTATGTATCTGATTGACTGAATCTGAACTCTGAAGCCTGCTCCTCTTTTGTTTGACTAAATCATTTGTTGGCTGCATGTATGTATCTGTGTTTGCGTGAACTCTAAAATCTGAATGTATAGCTGATTGCTTGAACTCTGAATTTAGGATGTCGACAACAGAGGTTGAACCTGGAACTGTAACTGAGGAAGCAAATGTCCTGAGAAGGAATTCAGATGATGTGGGATGGAAATATGGGGTTCTTGTTGATCCTAACAACAAGGACAAGGTGAAGTGCAAGTTCTGTGACAAGGTGATGCAAGGAGGGATTTATCGGTTGAAGCAACATATGGCCAACACTGGAAAAAATGCAACAAAATGCAGGGACAACACACAGGAGGCTAAAGACAATTGCAAGAAATCACAAGATGAAGCAAAAAGGAAGAGGGAGGAGAAGACTGTTCGTGAGCTAGAACTTAGAGAGGAAGTGAATGTTTCTCGGGTTAGAAATGGAGAGTCAGAGGAAGTGACTTGTGTTGGAAGTTCAGAGCCTCACAAATTAGGCCCCATTGACAAATGGACACGTGCTATTGATCCTAAAGCAACCAAATCTGAATCTTTGACGCAACAGAAGCTGAACAAGGAACTTTGGAAAGAAAGAACACATGAGGTGCATAAATATATTGCAAGATGGGTCTATACACATGATAATTTACTAATTTCCTATTCTGTATTTATAGTATGGCTGTACTAAACACTAATTAATCTTCTTTTTTATAACATTGGCAGCAATACCATTCAATGTATGTGACAATGATGAGTTCAAGCAAATGTGTGAAGCAATTGGACAGTTTGGAGCTGGACTTGAACCTCCATCTCATTATGATCTGCGAGAGAGATTGCTAGAAGAAGAATATGCAAGAACCAAGAGTTTGCTGCAAGAACATAAAGCCGAGAAGGTGAAGAATGGGTGCTCTGTTATGACTGACGCTTGGTCAGATAGGAAGAGGAGAAGCATAATGAACCTGTGCACTAATTGTGCTGATGGATCCAGTTTTATCAGCTCAAAAGAGATGTCAGATGTGTCACACACAAGTGAAGTCATCTTTGAACTAGTGGACAAAGCAACTGAAGATATTGGTCTGGATAATGTGGTGCAAGTAGTGACAGATAATGCTTCTAACAACATGGGAGCAAAGTTATTGCTTGAGAAGAGACCAAACATATTTTGGACCTCTTGTGCAACTCACACAATCAATTTGATGCTCCAAGGAATTGGCAACATGCCACGGTTCAAGAAGGTGATTGACCAAGCAAAGGTATTCACCATATTTGTCTATGGGCACACAAGAACATTGGAGTGCTTGAGACACTTCACAGAGGGGAAAGAGATAATAAGTCCAGGAGTGACTAGGTTTGCTTCAGTTTTTCTCACTTTGAACAACATACTAGAGAAGAAGGACCAACTAAGAAAGATAGTGGTTCATAGTAGGTGGGACACATTGAAGGATGTGAAGTCAAAAAAGGGAAAAGATGCAACAACAACAATATTGAGTCCAACCTTTTGGAAGGATGTGAAGCTGTGTTTGAGTGTTTTTGAGCCATTGGTCAAAGTTCTTCGTTTGGTTGATGGGGATGTGAAGCCATCAATGGGTTTCCTATATGGAGAACTACTGAAGGCAAAGAGAGAGATCAAGGAAGCCTATGGCAATGTTGAGTCCCGCTACAAGGATGTTATTGCTACTATTGAGAAGAAGATGAAAGGAAGACTTGATTCTCCATTGCATTTGACTGCCTATCTGCTGAATCCATACTACAGTTATGGTAACCCATCAATCTTTGAAGATGCCACAATAACAGAAGGATTTATCAGTTGTGTAGAGACTTTTTATCATCATGATGAGGACAAGCAAGATCAGCCTGTCAACATTGAACTAAAGAAGTTTCAGAATAGAGAAGGACCATTTAACAAGAAGCTTGCAAAGATTTGTGAAAAAATTGATTACAACCCAGGTAGAGGTAAGTCATATTACATGGCTGTTACATAGTTTGCTATTTGCATCTATTGTAACTAATATTACAGAGTTGCTGCTCATTTATTTCAGCATCTTGGCGACGGCTGTATGGAACTGAAACACCAGCTTTACAGAAGATGGCAACAAGGATCCTGTCTCTGACATCAAGCTCTTCTGGTTGTGAAAGAAATTGGAGTACATTTGAAATGGTTAGTCCCTATCTAATGTCCAGATTTCAGCAATCAGCACTAAACTTACAGTTACAGGAATGGAAATACCGAAATAGTTATGCTCACATATTTATTTTGTAGAACCACACTAAGAAGAGAAATAGACTTACTACAACCCGACTCAACAAATTGGTCTTTATTCAATTCAACAACAAGCTGATTAATAAGAAAGAAAAGATCAAGTCAAAGAAAATCAGTGATGTTCTCTTGTCTAATGATACAACTGAAGCTCAAGGTTTTCTTTATGAGGATGGAGATGATTGTGCATTAGTTGTCTATAGAGATGAGGAAGATGAGATGGAAGGTACATAGATACCTTGGTCTGTTATTGGAGATGCAATGGGAGCAGAAGAACAACTTGAGCTGCGTAGAAGTGCAAGAGTGAGACAACTTTATGAAGGAGAAGAATTTGACTCTGAAGAAGAAGAGTTTGATGAAGTTGAGGATGATTATTTAGAACCCTATTAAAGAAGAAAGAGGATAGGGTAGTGGGGCCTCTTTATCATGTCATGGTTTATCTTTTGATGCATTCATGTATGTCTTAAACTTATGAACTGCTGCTGTGTGACTGTGTTTTTCTTTTTTTGTGAGAACTATGTGCTCTGTGAACAAGAGCTTTATTTATGAATTGTGTTGTGCACTTGTAATGCTGTCATGTCCACTTGTTTGTGCTTTAAAATTTGTAATTCCTACCTGCTATGGTCTGTTCATGGATGGGAGGTGGCTAAAATCATCCAGATAAGTGACAACTTGCTATTTTCTATTGTTTTGATGAACTGCTTGCTGTCTATTGACAATGAGTATTGACAAGCTGTCAATCTTTGCTGTAGGAACTAGGAACAAGCTGTCTATTGACTTATTGAGTATTGACTATTGAGCCTAAGCCAATATGCCACTAAGGTATGTTTACTGGTTCTCTCTTTTATATACTGTATTCAGCTACTCTATGTCTCTATTAGTGTATGCTAATTTGACAAAACGCTTAGAAAAACGTCTTAAAACGCCTAGGCTCTAGGCTATGGGTCACCGCCTAGAAACCGCCTAGCACCTAAAAAACCTTGATAATTTGAGTGGCCTAACTTTTTCTCAGCCTTGTGTTATGTTATCTGATGTTGACTATAAATAAATTATAAATGTCAGGCACATTTCATAGCAAAATTTCATGAGAAAACAGACCCTTGAGCTAAAATTTTTAGCAACAGATGGCATTGCAATTTTAGAATTATAAAAATCTAATATGGTAGAGTAGGAACTCAAAATGTGGCATAAATGCATATAATTTATGGTTGCATTAACAACCAGGTGAGCATGCATCAGGTTGGTAGAGTCGAAATGATCAGGTGCCCATATGAGTTTCTGCTAGTTCCATTTGTGATGGAGCCTTATTATTTTTCCGATGCTTCTAAAATCAACATTGCTAAACAGCCAACCACTCTGCAATAAGTTATAAATTAACAGACCCTGCGCACAGAAATTCAACACACACACATTTTGACTTGAGTATAGGTGTTCCTCCTAAGTTCCTAACACACGCACAAATCGTTAGTATTCATAAATACATAATAATTAATCACCAATTCTCTACTGCCCAGACGTATACAAGGAAAATTCAAATTCACCACAATTAAACATGAATAGTTTCTTGACAGTCAAAACAAATATGAATAGTTTCTGCTCATCACAAAATTGAATTTAAACATAATTAGTAACTTCCAGAAAATGAGTCTGTTGAACATTAGTACAGCTGCACATATGAATTGAGTATAGATGTTCCTCATAACCTTCAAAGATCAAAGATTTTTCTAATTCTGGTTTTGTACCCAGACTTTTTAGTAGTTTATACATATAAAATTTTAGATACAAATTCAAGTAGAAATCAGTTAATAATTAGATACAAATGTAAACAAAATATTAAAAAGAAAGGAATTTAACCTTCTTTCTCAATTTTCTTTGAATGGAATCTGTGTGTTCTTGCTGTGAGCAACCGCCGCCGCAGTGAGCCCCACCCTCCTAATCATCGCCCCTCAAGCACCACACTACACACGTCTAAAAACCAAATCGCGATTAAGAAGACAGTAGATCGAGGGATGGAAAATGGAGATCGAGATAAGTGGAAGGGAAGCTGACCGAATCGACCGAGAGGAAAGAGTGTTGGGGAGGTGGTCGACCGCGTTCAAATGCGAAAGCTGTCGAGGACCGGGAGGCCGGATCTATGCGCCCCTCCCTAGAGATGTAGCTGTAGTCGGCGGATCCATGCGCCCCTCCTCGGTGGGCGGCCACGAATGCAGCTTTCTTCACCGGTGCAGAAGGGGTTGGAGTGGGGGCAGCCGGTAGGGGCTGGCGTGGTTAGTGTTCTGGCGAGTGGCGGTGCTGTGCAGGGCGACGACGGCGGGAGCTGACGTGGGAGGCAGAGGCGGCGTGCACTGGCATGGGAGGCGGCGGCCACGGGCGCTGGCGCTGGCGTGGGAGGCGGCGGCAGACACTGGCGGGGGAAGCGGCGGCACGCGAGGGGCAGCAGAGACAGAGCAGGGTTGGATTGGGTTTCCCTTTGCGTGGGCTACAGACTCCGTCCCAAAAGGCTATGACTCTGCGCGTGCATACGGTGAAAAGATCTAAAACCGGAATCTGGACAAGACCGTATATCCTTTCGCCGACACTTAGATAGTTGGCTTGTTTAGGAAACGGCGATACTTATTCTGTCTAAAAACATTTGCCGACAGTTTCATTGTCCTAAGAGAAATGCCGACAGTTAACCTATAGCCATACAACATCATTGCCGATAGTTTATGTGACTTTAAAAAGGTTGTACAATTACCAACACATAGTGTGTTGTCAAAACCAATCATTTGCCAACAGATAAGTGTAGGCAAATGTGTGTCTAGGTGTAGTGATATATTTTATACTAAAATCGTAGTTTTAATTTCCTGCAATTTATGGGTATAATGTGCAATATTTGGTTTTGAGAATAAAAAATCTGTTAGATAAAACAACAAACCCCACAAAATTTAATCCGTGTTGGCACAAAAATAATTAACAATTAAAAATTATTTCTATAGTCGAAGAAAAATAAAATTGATATATTATGACATAGAAACAATTATAACAAATTACTAACATACCACAAGAGGACAAATTACAAGAAGGACAAACTACAAGAGGGCATATCAAAAGAGGACTAAAAAAATTAGGCTAGACAAAAGAAAAAGAGGGAGCTGATAAATCCCGTGTCCAGCTAGCAGGCTTCTATAAAGATCCGACGGTAAAGCGAGCCAATACAGAGAATAAATCAGTAGCATCACAAAACTACGGCATGAGATCAGACGGACAAACCGTCGACTGAACAATGGAAGCGTTTCAGTAGACTGATACAAAAGTGTAATAACTGATTAATATATTTAGCACGGAGCATTTCTATACATCAAAGAACGAATGTTTGACATTTGGAGATTAGACGTGGATTTGCCACCCACACTGCCGGAAACCGGCTCTTTGCCGAGTGTTTTCATGTTTGCCGAGTGCATTCCCTCGGGCACTCGGCAAACAAGCTCTTTATTGAGTGTTGCGAAAAAAATACTCGACAAAATAATTGCACTCGATAAATAAACTGTTTGCTGAGTGCTGAAAAAAAAACACTCGGCAAAGAAGTATGTTTACCGAGTGCTCCTAATCTGGCACTTGGCAAACAATGCTTTGCCGAGTGTCAGATCTAGGACACTCGGCAAAGCTCCTATGCTATAACTCACGCACCCCGTAAGCGCAGCTGCGAGGCTGGTCTCCACTGTTACGTCTCTGCTGCCCGCCTCTCCCCTCCACCCTCCTCTAGTCCATTCCAAGTCCCCCATTGGCCACCACAACCACCATGCCAGCCAGCCCCACCACTCCATCCAAGAGTCTTCGACTCCGAGCTGCTGCCCCCCTGTTTCTCCTCGGTTCCGTGCACCGTGCCACCGGTGGGAGGAAAGGAGGCGGGTCAGGGCGACGCTGATGCACCCAAAGCTGTCGCGGACTGCCCAAAGCTCTTAGGTTATTTCCCTCCCCTTAGGTTTTTCTCCTCCGGTTGTCCCCCGGGATTCCTAAATCGAAGCTGTGATCTAGGACACTCCGGTTGTCCGCCGTGCTGAGCCACTTGCCGAAGAATCTTAATTTATGCGTTGGTTTATTTGGATGACCAAGTCACTGACAGCTAAAATGCTACTCCTACCTACTCATTGATAGCATCGCCCAATACGTAATTGTGTCTTCGGTAGGTTGCCATCTGCTCTTGCTAGACGTGAATTCCAACGTAAACATCACTGTCATGCATGACATCTGCTCTAAAAGAAAATGTAATCTTAATTGTTCCATTTAAATATTAACTTAGCAACATATAGATATGTCTAATCAACTTGATTCATTCCGGACGAGATGCATGTTCAAATAATCCGCGTGATAAGATAAACTTCGTTAATAACATATATAGCTAATTCATCAATAATCGTGTATATATAAAACCTTGTGCTTATCCTATCAAAACTTTTTTTCGAATTTACAAAAAAAAATGCAAATTTCAAATACACCCACTTGCAAATTAAATGGTTCCAATGTCGACATATTGACATTTGGTTCTTTTATTTCCCATCCAATAAATCTTCACTCATTTGCACGCATGTATATATACTCTTACCCTCCTTGTACTTCCCCATGCGCACACAGACGCCAAGGAGCTCAGTACATAACACAAAAATGGCGAGACCCTTGCTCTGGCTCGCGCTCTTGTGCGCCGCCCTGGCGTTCTCCACCTGCGCGGCAGGCCTCCGGCTGGAGCTCACCAACGTCGACGCGAAGGAGAACTGCACCACCAAGGAGCGCATGCGCCGAGCCACCGAACGCACCCACCGCCGTCTGGCGTCCATGGCGGGCGGCGAGGCGAGCGCGCCCGTTCACTGGAATGAGTCACAGTACATCGCCGAGTACCTCATCGGCGACCCGCCGCAGCAGGCGGCGGCCATCATCGACACCGGCAGCAACCTCATCTGGACGCAGTGCTCGACCTGCCGGGTGGCCGGCTGCTTCAGCCAGAACCTCTCCTTCTACGACCCGTCCCGGTCGCGCACGGCCAAGCCCGTGGCGTGCAACGACACGGCGTGCGCGCTCGGCTCCGAGACCCGGTGCGCGCGCGACAACAAGGCGTGCGCCGTGCTCACCGCTTACGGCGCCGGGGTCATCGACGGGGTGCTCGGCACCGAGGTGTTCACGTTCGGCCAGTCGGAGAACGTGAGCCTCGCCTTCGGGTGCATCACCGCGAGCAGGCTCACGCCGGGCTCCCTGGACGGCGCGTCCGGCATCATCGGGCTGGGCAGGGGCAAGCTGTCGCTGCCGTCGCAGCTCGGCGACAACAGGTTCTCCTACTGCCTCACGCCTTACTTCAGCGACGCCGCGAACACGAGCCGCCTGTTCGTCGGCGCGTCCGCCGGCCTGAGCAGTGGCCC